ACTTGTTGCCATGCAGATTACTGTCGCATAATAAAAGATAAAAGTTACCTATAGATGTTCCAAGACATTAAATAGTTGCAGGGACCAACGTATTGAATGTAACTCACAGGCTATTGAGATTAGCACACGAACTAAGGTTGCCAGGAATGGGTCCTTCGAGTTTGTTGTTGGCAATATTCCTATAAATAAACAGTGTAAGACACTTGGAAGTGATGTGAGCAACCTTTGCTCAGCAGAAATTAGCATGATACAACTTACAGGTCAAACAAGTCCGTAAGCTTCCCCAACTCCGGAGGAATATGTCCAGAGAGCTTGTTATCATTTAGTTCTCTATCAGATTCAAGGAGAAAGGACAATGTTAGTAATGAGTTGAACATATAAATACATCTACAATCAAGGAAATTGTGACATAGAAATCTGGCAATTGTTGAGTTCATTAACACATACAAGTAATGAAGTTTTGTCATATTTCCTAGCTCCGCAGGTATTGAACCAGTTAGCTTGTTACTATGCAAATATCTGCAAAATACAACATTCACTCAAACAGCCCATATAGCAGATTGACAAACATGAAATAGCCAGGAATTGAGTGGGTACTAACAGTTTCTCAGTATAGCTCAAATTCCCCAATATTGGAGGGATTGTCCCAGTCAAATGATTGAAGCTTAAATCTCTGGAGAAAAAAAGAAAAAGAAAAAGAAAAAAAAAAAAAAAAAAGCAGCAAATTAGAATGATAAGAGTGAATAGTAACAACCTTAAAAAAGGTACTCCAAATATCCATAAAGAGCGCTGGATTCACTTAAAGGAAGACTTACAATACTGCAAGAGCCTGCATCAAGCCAATAACCGAAGGAATTTCCCCCGAAAGTTGATTTCCTTGCAATGACCTATCCAAGGAGTGCGATTTGGTTAGAACTTATTTTAATAAAAACCTTTATTTGATTAATTAAAGAGCTGAGATTGCATCTTCATACAAAGTTGCAACTTGCAAAAACCCTATGTTGAATGGAATCTCCCCAGTAAGCTGATTGTATGACAGGTCCCTACAGAATAATTAAGATAAACTTCTTTCAGTGATTGAGCCGCAGAGCAATAAACATAAGGTATCTTAAGTGAAGGTTAGTGACATACAATACTTGGAAGGCAGTACAATTGCCTATACTCTGGGGGATAGTTCCTGTCAAGCTGTTGTTTCTAACATCACTGCAAGATTTAGAAAAAATCATGATATTAGAATACAAATAGGTGACAAAAATGCTTAAACTCCCTATAGAGCCAACATTATAGATGACTTACAAGTACCACAACCCAGTTAGCTGGCACATATCAGGTGAGAGCGATCCGCCCAAATTGTTGCCTCGAAGCCCACTAAATTTCATTGAATAAATATTTCATTAAGTAGTAATAATTTGTTAATTGCCAAATATTTAAAATAGACAATACAATCATACAAGTAGCCATAAACTTGCTCTAAAGTAGCTTCGACAAAAAGCTGGTATACTTACAGATATTGCAAAACCTCATTCCAATATATAAGCCTGGGAATTTCCCCTGTCAAAGAGTTCTGGGCCAGGTCTCTGTAGAAAATCGGTGAATTAGTAGTTTAGTCAAATTCTGAACAACTATGTGCAGATAAGCACACGGCTGCAACTCAAAAGACAGGTTAAGAGCTTTACAAGAGTTTCAAATTTGGAATCTGTGAAAGGGTGGATGGGATTGGGCCTGTCAATTGATTATTCTTCAAAATCCTGGAAGACAATAGACATGAAAAATAAGAAAAGTTTATTCTGCAAAATAACAAAGCAACCAGTTCTTCAGAAAATTCCTTACAATTCTTCCAATTGCTTCAACTTTGATACTGAAAATGGTATATCTCCATAAAGCTCATTGAATGACAAGTCCCTAAGATCAGATGTTCATCAAATTAGTCACGATAACCTTTGCACATAAGACAGTTGGAAGAGCTAGCATCCTAGGGTCCAAGTAATGAAATCAACGGGCAATACTTATTTAATAAAACATACAAGTATGTCAATGAAGAGCAATCACCGATCTCATCAGGTATTTGTCCTGATAGCCTGTTTCGACTAAGATCACTGTTCAAAATCCATCACATATATCAGCACTCAATCATACAAGGTAAGGAAAAATGGAAAAGTATAGCAAAAGGTGGTACAATGTACATTGATAGCAAGCTTTTAAGATCTCCAATAGCCGGTGAAATCTCTCCATCAAGATTTAGCCCTGAAATATTCCTAGATAGATACCACCACCCAAAAGGCAGACAAACATTATAAACTTTACACAACAAACAAATCCAGCATGCAAAACAACCAAATATAATGATAATGACTTGGCTTGACTAACTTAATAAGATAAGAACAAGAAGCACATATATCATGTCTGCATTAGTCGTCACATTATTAGCTCAAATTACACCATCGATGTGACTACTAATTCCGGCCGAGCCCAACGGGGAAGAAGATACAGTTAGAAGACTCACAAGGCGACGATGTTGAAGGTGGCATTGTCACAGGTGACCCCTCTCCATACACAATAATCTGATGATAGTGAATCTGACCAGTCATATAAAACATTATCTACATCCCTAATTGACTTCTTAATCTCCAACAGTGTTGCACCTTTATTAATCCCAAAAGCGAAAACAAGTTAACAACTTAATTAAAGTAATAAATTCATTTCACTAAAATAAAATGACTAGACAGAAAAAGGCATTTCACCTACCCAAATAAAAAGGGAAACAAATAGCAAAAATAACATAAAACTTTGACAAATCTAAAAAGCAAAGATAGAGTTAAAAATCACTCTCAAATGATAAGACTAAACATAAGTACTTCCATCTCTTAAAAAATTAAAATAACGGCTCATTTTGTTGTTACCTATATCAACGACAATTATACCCCCTCTTCTAAAATATAAATCCATCAAAAGCCAATTTATTTTTAAAAAAAGTAAGCGGATAGAGCCGCAAAGGTAGTAACATAGACGGGATTCGATCCGAGGTCTTGGTACGAGTCGTACCATTAATTAAAAAGATGATTAAGGACAAAACAAGAGGATGATTTAGGACAAAAAAGTGACATTATTATATTAATCACACATAAAGTAGGTAAATTAACAATGTTTAGACAAAGACAAAAAACAATTAAAAAATGATTTCAGATATGAGAGAGAAGAAGAAGATGAAGATTATTAGAACTTACCATCGTCAGAATTCACAGAACCCAAACTACAGAGTAGAAGAGAAGCTAGAAAAACCCAAGCTGGAAGACAATGCCGCCATTGTTGGAACCCACAGAAAAATCCTACCTCCATTTTTTTCACTTTTTTTAAATAACAAAGGCTAAAAAACCCCACTAAAATTCCACAATTTTCTGGGTTTTCTCAAGCTCAATCAACCATTTCTACCCAGAAAAAATCCCACCATTTTTTGAACTTTTAGAAATACCCACTAAAGAAAACAACAGAATTCTGGGTAAAATGAAGTTCAATCAACAATTTATCAACTGGGTTTACTATTTTAAGAGAGAGAAAGAGTGAAAACAGAAGAATCACGAAGAACTTGGCAATTTAATTAATTGGGAAATTCTCTCTCATAAAACAACAAACAAAAATCCCCATTTAAACACAATGTACATTGCATTTCCTCCTCTTCAAATCTACCCAGTGCCCAATTCAATGTTCTAGAGATAGAAAGAGAAAATTATGATAAAAGGAAGTAGTCACTGTATAATTAAAAAGAAGAAAAAGACTAGTTTTTCAGCTCTGCAAAATTTCTGGGTTATTATCACACAACACAGCTAGGCTAGTACTCTGCTTTTTACAAATTTTCTCTCTCCTCTAAAACTCAGACAATTGTATTAAATTTGTAGTATATAGGGGAGCTCAGCTGGTAAAAATAGCAATAAATAAATTAAATTTACTAATTATTTTTTCTGAGTATTTTTAAAAATTAATTTTTTATTGAAATTTGAGAGGAGAGAGAAAGAGAGAGAAGTCGCTTTCTTGCTCTGTTTTTTTTTTTTTGGAGGAGAGAGAGAGGAGTCTGAGCATCTGCAGACGCCACCCTTATTACTACTTTTTGGACTTGACAGCGATCCCTCTTTTTTTTTTTTTTTTTTTTTTTTTTTTTTTAGTAATTTAATTAATTATTTTGGAAAATAAATAATTTGCTGTTTTAATGAATAAATTTATGGAGATTGGTAAAATTGAAATAATTGATTTAGTATAAGGTTTGGGTATGGGTATGGGTATGGGTAGTACGTTGTAGAGTGTGGACAATTTTCTCATCATTTTTACATTTATGGTTTGTAGCATTAGTTTGGTAGTTATACTTTTGCCCTTTTCTTTTACCACGAGTACTTGTACCTCTCTTGAATTTATAGGCTCATGGGTCAATTTTTGCCGATAATTACGATTAGACCACTCTTAATGGTGAGCAAAAAAAATGCTCACCCACTCTCTCTCTCTCTACCCACTCTCTTTCTCAACAAATTAATTTTGCTCATGGGCAAATTTTTTTTACAGTTTCTCTCCCAATGGTGAGCAAAAAAAAATGCTCACCCACCACTATCTCTCTCTTACTTTTTCAATACCCCACCATTACTTTCTCTCTCCTACACAACACTTCTTTATTTATTTATTTCATTTATATTTTAACAATGTTACTCCAAATAAATGAAAACTAGTTTAAATTTGTGTAACTTATTTTTTTTATTTTTGTCTTTTTTATCGTTAAAATTTGTCGTAAAATTAAGTATGTTATATAAAAAAAATTGTAAAAAATCGCTCATAATTTGTTAAATGTTTTTATTTATTTTAAAAGCGGTACAATACTAGAGAACAATTACATTTGCAACGTCATGCGTAATTAAACTTAGGAAATAAAATAAACACAACAACTAAAAAATAACTCGACTGCGTACGGAAAAATAGCTACGCCATAGTACTTGGCTTTATTTAAGTCGTCTAAATTCTCCCTAATTACGTGGCCCGTATCGTTGCCAAATATGTTCGACTAAATCACGTTTCAGAGATAGATGAATTTCTCTGTCACGGAGGGAAGCTTTTCGTTGTAGAAATGCGTTGAAGTCAAAGTTGGTAGGTCGACTTACGTTGAATTCAAACGGTGGCGTTGTAGATGTTGATGCTGGTGTTGATTCTTGTTGATCTTCTTCGTAGAAGGCTCTTAGAACTTCGGCTCGAGTGTAGTTGTGGCGCTCATCTTCAACAATTATGTTGTGCATAATGATACATGCTTTCATTATGTCTCGTAGTATGTCCTCATCGTACGCCAGTGACGGTTTTCGTATTATTGCAAATCGAGCTTGCAAAACACCGAATGCTCTTTCAACGTCCTTTCGAGCAGCAGCCTGGTGGTCAGCGAACAATTTATCTTTTTGAAGTTGAGGGGTTGTGATACCCTGAACAAAAGTTGCCCACTTCGGATAAATGTCGTCGGCTAAGTAATATGCCATGTTGTATTCATGGCCGTTAACGGTAAAAATTTACCGGAGGAGCTCGACCATGCAGAACCTCATCGAACACTGGGGAACGGTATAAGACATTTAGGTCATTACAAGATCCAGGGATCCCAAAGAAGGAATGCCATATCCATAAATCCTGATCTGCAACGGCTTCCAGTATTAGCGTTGCTTTCTTGTTCCTACCGGCGTACTGCGTTTTCCATGCCGTTGGACAGTTCTTCCATTCCCAATGCATGCAATCAATGCTGCCTATCATGCCTGGAAAACCGCGCAATTCATTTTGATGCAGTATTCTGGCCAATTCATCAGTTGTAGGGTTTCGCATGTACTCGGTTCCGAACTGCTCAATGACACCGGTACAAAAACGTTGAAGGGCAACTCGAGCGGTTGACTCACTGATCCGAACGTATTCATCCACGGCGTCCGCAGCCATGCCGTAGCCTAACATTCTTATCGCCGCTGTACATTTTTGCAGAGGTGATAAACCTAACCTTCCAGCTGCATCCCTACGCTGCTGGAAGTACACATCACCTTCAACGACCTTGTTCATTATACAAACAAAGGTCGTTGCATACGAAATCTTCTTCTAAATTGGGTGGTGCTGTACACAGGATTATCGAAAAAGTAATCATTAAACAACCTGGCATGTCCAATTTCTCTATCTCTTCTATTCGTACCCCCTCTAGGTTTTTTTGAAGAGTGTTGGGATTGTGTTTGGGGCATGAGGACAGATGGGGGTTGGTTATGTGAAGAGTTCATCAACAAGTTGGTCATATTCTTCAGTATTTGAAGAAGATGAGCTTGAACTTGAGCTTGATGATGGTCTAGAATACATCTCGTATTAAATTGTTACTTGATGAAGGGGTGTGGTTGTGGATATGTGCCATGCCTACTATATACAGCAAAAATATCAAATGAATATGTGGTTACAAATCTGAATGACCACGCCAAGTACAGGAATCAAATTTTCAACCACGGAATAGGTATACTATGCTAGTTGACATTGACAAGTCTTGAGTGCAATAATGTCGGTATCAATGACACAGAGGTAAAGCATTCTGATAAAGTGAATATAGGAAAACGTGGCTATACAATGACAAAGATTTATTGTAATTTTGTCGGTATCAATGACACAAGGTTAAAGCATTCTGATAAAGTGAAATTAGAAAATTGTGACTACACAATGGCAAAGATTTAAAGCAATTATGTCGGTATGAATGGCAACTTAAATCAACTTGTTAAACAACTTGTCATTCAATATTGGAAAATCAGAATACAAGTGTACATCTTACATTGAGATTAACCACACCACTAATACAACTTAAAAATAAAAGACTAAATTGTTCTTAATAAATAAGAGACTACAACCAAATATGCTTAAAGGCCTTGTAATTTACCCAGTAAAAAATTCTTGTACGACTCTTCTTCAGGAGTGAGTGGCGTAGGCAAATTCTTCATAGCTTGCACCATATCAAACCAGGTTTTCATCTTATGGATGTCAAGTTCCTCCCTTTTCCTCTGTTCCTTGTCTTTTTCAATTTTTAATCTCTCTTCCTTCAGAATGGCCTCCCTCTCGCGAATTATAGCGAATTCCTTCATTCGTTCGCTAAGCTCAGACGAACCACTTTCTGTTGCTACTGCTTTCCCTTTACGCTTCGCCTTTGCCTTCTTGACACCCTCGGGTCGCTGTAAACCGCCAGATGAAAAACCATCCGTAGGGGTATCATCCTCTACATCATCTCTGGACCTCTTCCCACTTCCAGCACTACCTTCTTCCTCAGCATCACATGCGGCTTTTCTTTCCTTCAAGGACATTGACCATCTCAGCTTTGGTCTCCACTTTGGATCCTTGTTAAGCATTTCAATTGCGTGTGGAAAAGTGAAATTGCGACCTTGGGTGACATGAAAAAACTTCGCCGCACTTTTCATACGATCAGCTTCATTGTAACCACTCCCTCCCTCCGGAAGTCTACCTGCTTCATCATAGCAAGATATCCATTGTAGTGTGTCCGCTGCCAACCTTCTCCAGTGCGACGTCAGACTCTTAATAGGCCTTGGCGGAATTATATGCGGCTTCTGCGTATGCAAAGTTTGATATGCTGCGTGTACATTGCGCCATAGGCTAGTTGCTTTTTGGCTTGTACTTTTAATAGCATCCTCGCTAATCTGCAAGTACAACCCAATCAGAGCTTCATCTTCCGCAACAGACCAAATACGGGTAACTCGTGCAGGAACCTGGTTGGGTTCCAACAAGCGAACTGGTGGAGGATGATACTGCGGCGTCTTTGGTACGCTTTCCTCTTCGCTCTCATCGAAGAGTGTGTTACTACCAAGATCAGTTTCAGGTGTACGATCTTCATTAGCACGGTTTTGTAGGGGAACCTCAGTGGTTGTCTGATGCAGTGGAGGTGGTTGCGACGACATATTGCCATTCTTTGCAAGAACAATTGAAACTCGGGATTAGTTAGGAAATCATCACTAAAACCCGAAAATTGTTGACGGAAATTTGGGTTGTTTGGATCCATTAAAAGATTCTGCATAAAAAAACAAAAGATAAATATCGTTACAAACATTTACTCAAAAAACAAATTAAAATGATAAATAATGCAAAAAAATATCAACAACTTTCTTCAATTGCATAATGCAATTACATTACATGCCATACAATATATTTTTTTCCTCACAAAATAACATATATACTAATTTTAACACATAACTACATGTACATATTAAAGAAAAAAATTAATCAATACTTGCAACACTTTAACAACTATGAATTTAGAAATTTCTTGAGAAAATATACACCACTTTGTTTAATTACATAATGCAATATAATTTCGTGGCCTATCATATTGATTTTTTTCCAAAAAACCAAACATATACTAATTTTATTATGTAACTACATTTATATATAGCAAAAAAAATTAACCAATAATTGCAACACTTTAAATAACTACAAATTTAGTAATGTATGGAGAAAATATACACAACTTTGTTTAATTACATAATGCAATTTAATTTCGTGGCCTATAATTTTTGTTTTCCACAAAATCAAATATATACTAATTTTATTACGTAACTACATTTATATATAGCAAAAAAAATTAACCAATAATTGCAACACTTTAATAACTACAAATTTAGAAATTTATGGACAAAATATACACAATTTTGTTTAATTACATATTGCAATATAATTACATGGCCTACAATTTTATTTTATTTTTAAAAAAAATCACACATAGACTACTTATATTATGTAACTGATTTTAAAAATTAAATAAAATTTTTTTACCTCAATATGGCTGAATTGCAAGAACAATATTCTTCCACAAATTTAAGATACTTTTAAGAAAATTAAAATTTCGAGGATTTTAAAGTGTTTACGAAATTATATCAAAATGCATGTCTATTTATAGAGAATTTAATTTTATGACCGTTGGTAATTTTTTTTCTTTTACAAAGTATATTTTTCTGAAAATGCATTATAAATAAATAATCGTTGTAAAACGGCTAGTATTTTCTGATTGACTAGCTTGCTGCCAACGCCACGTGTCGCGCCCGGATTCGCTGTCACTGCTGCACGCGTCAGAGCTGAAGCTTTTTTTTTTTTTTAAAAATTTCAACCTCAAAACGACTCGTTTTGAGGCGTGGGTTTGAGGCAGCTCCATCAAAACGCGTCGTTTTGATGGTGGGGTGTCCGAATTTTTTTGCTTTGTCAGCCACGTGTGGGGCCCACTTAAGTTACTGTTCATCCCAAAAAATGCTCAAGTTTTGAGCTTTTTTATAAATGCTCATGAGCTTTTTTTCCCTTTTTCCTTTTCCTCACCATTGTAAGCCTTGAGTATTTTTTTTCCTCACAAAAAATGCTCATGAGCAAAAAAAAAAACTCACCATTGCTAGTGCTCTTAGGTAATGCAACGTACCTTCTCCGTTTTTTATATAGTTATACAATTGTACGGAGTAATTATATATTTTGGTGCTATTTGGTTCACTTGGGAATTAGAACTTCCCATGAATTGCAAATTTATAGAAATTAAGTTCCTATAATCAAATTCATGAAAATTTCATAAAATTGTTTGGTTAACAATGAGGTTAGTAACTTTCCATGGGAATTTCTACTTACCTAGGGGGGTTAAGTAAGTAAGTTCCTATATTTTGTGGGAACTCAAAATTCCTAGGAAGTTTCACCTCCATTTCAACAAATTTTTGTCAACCAAACAACACATAAAACTTGCAATTCCTAGCAAGTCTCACTTTCCATGTTTTTTTTTGTCAAACAAACAAGCCCTTTGTATATATGAGTATGTTTTACTATATGAATACTAAGTAAAAATGTGAAAACTTGTTAGATTTGTCTTAATATTTTTTAATTGTCAATTTTTTAAAATATTTGATTGTTGATTAATCAAAATAGTAATGATTTTATTTTATGTATTGGCGGCTACATCTAAATCAAAAAAATAGAAAGTCGAAGTAATTATATTTTTTGTGTATGTAGGTAAGAAAAAAATATATCTTTCTTTCAAAAAAAAATAAGTACTGTACTAAAATATCTCTTACTAATCAATTTTCTTCTTCACGGATTAGAATTATGAGGGGGGAAATTACACGATCAAATATTTACCATTAGGATAGGTCTTATTTGATTATGAAGTATTTCGTTTTATTCCCATGTGGCTACGTTTCTATTTGATTAGACAAATTATGTATGGAGTATGAATTTATGTTATGAGGACTTGGCGGGTCTTGATCGCACCTGCAACTAGGAGAGAAAGTCCACTTCACAAGTTCAAAAGAGGTACCATTCAAAACTATATGGGAATAAGAGGATAAGCTCCATAACATTACAAAGTTGTAAGTATAAATCTTTCTTATTTTATCAATGTGGGACACTTACATGTATTGTTTAGAAAGTTTATAATTTAACAGTATTATATTACGTATATCCTTCGTACAAACTTACAAGGGTATTTTTGCTATAAAGTTTTGGGGTGATTTGGTTTGATCCAAAGAAAAACAAAAACTTGTGAGATAAAAACAGGAGAGGGGACTGAATTAGAAAATTTGGTTCAAGTGGATTGAAAAAATAAATTTTAAAAAATAAATAAATAAATAAAAATTAAAACACCTTTCAATTTGGTTCAAGTGGATTGAAAAAATAAATTTAAAAAAATAAATAAATAAAAATTAAAACACCTTTCATCCCTGCAATCCTGCGTCCTCATTACTAGGAGTAATTATATCAGCATGAATTAATAAATTTGTCATTATAATAATACCTTTGAATATACCCTTTATATATATATATATATATATATACACCTCAATATATTTTTAACATATTTATTGTTAGTAAGGAAAAGGTTCTTATTGAGTTTGGGTTAGCGAGGTAGACACTTTGCGAATGGGGATGAGAATAAGGAACGAATCTCATCCCAAAATACCTTTAGTGGAGTTTGATCCAACAACTTATTATGCAAATTTTTCTATTAGACTAAGCTTTGCTTAATACAAAACATATACTTTTAACTTGGTTCCTAAATAATG